CTTGTCTTTGTCCTGACAAATGACCTGCCTATAGACAAAAATTATTTGCAGGCTTGGTATTATAAGTTGAATTGGAAATACAGTACTTATCATACACAAAATATAAAATTTTAATGCTTATTATACACTATATAACTTGATGTTCATAAAATTTATTATTTTATTTTCTTCTTAAACAATCTTGATCATCTTTGTGTAGATCGAAACCATGGAAGACTTTTTCAAGGCAGATGGTCTTTCAAGGATTGTATTTTACTTTCAAGAAGTTGAAAACTTACCAGATGCAGGTACTTTTCTAGAGTCATTTCAAGGTTTGCAGTCAGGAAAAGGGGAAACCGAAGGTTATGTTGGGGGCTTCAAGGTTTACATGTATATATATGACTTGTATCTAATACACAGGCAGAGATGCTAACCTGAAGGAGTTGGAATCTGTGATGTTGCCAATTTTACCTCTTCTCAACTCCCAGCAATGCAGTGCACATGATTGAGTTTCACTGATTAAACACAAAAACATAATAAACGTCCCCAACATTGCCTAGAGTCAGCCAAAATAAATGTGAAAATACACACAGAAGCCTCTTTCCTTGATATGTGGGGATTTGGTGACCGGTAGAGGAGACTGGGAGATTTGGTCTGTACAGGGGTGTGTCTGGGAGACTCCCAGAGAGGTGCAGTCCATAAGAGTTGGCATAGATGCACATGCAAAAGTTATATATAATATTACTCTTGTCTTGTTCCTCACAAAATGGGTCTCCTTGGAATCAGTTTATTATTAATTCATGGTTTTGTTATAGACCTGTAATCCATTGCAAACTCAATGAGACTGATCAACAATATATAATAATAATTTATTATTCCAATTTAAAAAAATCCCAAAAGGCTAAAAAGTTAAAGAATCCCAGTCTAAGTAAAGTTTTAAATGATATTTGGATTACTGAATCAATAATAATTTTGTTAATAAGTCTACGAGATAAATATATTATGTACATGTACACTGAACATGTACAAATAACATCCTTTGGTGTTCCCTTAACTTGTATTCATGTATTGCTCTTTTTTGCAGTTGAACATGTAAGACTCGGTCCTGGTGGTGCACAGGCAGCCAACATCAAGACCAAACCCAAAGTTTTTATTACAGATACAAGGGACATGCAGCTAGCTGGAGCGTGTGTGTTCTTTATCAAAATCAATCCATCAAAAGCTCTTACTTTGGCCAACATTAATCAGGTAATTATAATTTACACTAGTTAACAAGCCATGTTAAAGTAGCTAACAAAGTTTAAAAGACATTTTTATTATTAATACCTTGCTATACTAGCTGATAAAAATAATGAACAAAAAAGTGTGCTTGGTTGCAATAAATGTAGATGGTGTAAAACAAAAAAAGGATGATTTTAATAAATTATTTTGATTGGAATTGCTCCCGTCTTTCCTCTTAGGAAACAACATTTGGTCTGTTGGACACTCGGGGTGTTGGAGTCCTGCATTCTGTTGAAAGACTTCTTGCTGATATCTACATTCCTGCCCTGTCTAAGAGTTCCAACTGGGGTGAGCTGTCAGACAAACATGGATCGGGAGTGCGTCAAGGCTTCATGAACCAATTAGAAAATTTTGTTGGTAAGTTAATATTATAATCAGTATCGTTAAAGGGAATAGGGTAACAAATTTTGGGTCAAGTCTGAAAGAAACTAATTTTTTTTACCAAGTTATGGTATGGTAGGTGAATTAATAACATGCAAATTTTTAAGTTCAAAACTTAACTCGTGATTATGTTTTTGGCTGCTGTCAGTCATTTTTAGGATGTGAACTAATGAACCTCAAGAAAAAAACGGATCAAAACCTACTAGTTACAACACACATGATCTTTTGAACCCACTGAAGTAAACTTCTGTTTCCTGAGAGGTCTGCCAAGATGTTTGGTGGCAGCAAAATATGAAATTGTTGATTGAGGGGAGTTCACATGTTAAATTGAAAGATGCAGTAACTGATGTTAAACTGAATTTTATTATAAAATAGTTTGTTCATTTGAATTCTGTCAGGTATCCTTAGTAGTGCACAGGCCAGTTTAGATGATGCAGTGACACTCAAGGAATGCGACAGTGTTGACTTGACAAGAATAAGCTCCCCTAATGATTACATAGCAGCTGCTAGTTCCAGCGAGACGCTGGAGCAAATTGAAGAGATTGTCACAGCGTGGATCAAACAGATTGAACAGGTAACACATGCACAATACACACATTTTTAGAAGGAAAAAAGAATGGATTGTACGTAACTTTGACAATGCACGCGTGATTGACAAGGGAAATTTCCGTGTTAGAAAAACTTTGGATTCCTGGCACACAGCAATTACGAACCATGCTGACAATAATGCGAAACAATTACCAAGACAATATTCAATTTTATTTTGAACTTCACATTAGCATTTTTACNTGTGTTCTAGTTCAATAACGGTTTCTAAAAATGCGTAGAGAGCGTAACCGCCGTGACTAATGCTGGTTCACCCTCCGATTTCTTCCAGAGGTCTCAATTTGTTGGTACAGACCAACAGAATCACAGCCTCTGGGAACGAGATTAAAGATATATGCTTTGGTCACCCTTTTTAGAAGTGAAAACTAGGACAGAAATTTGGTTGTAGAATAAGGACAACAGTGGCCCTGATTTCTCAACTGTTACGAAAATGTACTCAGAAGGTTCACATCTAGGGGCGGAGCAGGCCTTTTGCTCTTGGCAGGTTGTGTTGTCTAGACTGTCTGCTGTTGTCAGACATACAATGCATTGTTCATTGTACCTGCTCATGATTGTTTGTTCTTTTAGGTTTTGGCAGAAAGCGAACAAATGAGAAAGGAGGCTGATGATGTTGGGCCAAAAGCAGAACTTGATCACTGGAAGAAAAGAATGGCCAAGTTTAATTCTCTCTTGGATCAGATCAAAGGCACGGAATGTAAAGCAGTGGTTGGAGTTCTTCATGCAGCCAAGTCAAAACTCTTGAAGGTTTGTTACTCGAAGTGCCTGCAGCTCCTGCTGTTAGTCCATCTCAGTATTTAATCCGACTTCGAGAGAGTTCAAAGCTGACCCGGCCCTGGGGCCCGTTTCTCGAAGGTCCCGAAAAGTTTTCACATCCGGAAAGTCGTAGTAAAATCTCAAACCTCATGATTACAGAGCTGTTTTATTCACATATTCGTAATATGAACAGAGGTTTCCTTCATACAAGAAGTTTCAGGCGCATACACCTCTCTGCTTTTAGATACAGATTAAGTAAAAATGGTTTTGCGGGGCCAAAAAGGTTCCGGGGCTTTCGAGAAACACAGGGTTCTTCACATAATCTTCAGATTGCGTGACGAGCCTAAAGAGCGTCTGTGCAGGAGGCTAACTAGGTCCTTGATTCTCATCAAAAAATGTAGAGAATCGAAAATTCAATCTCTGCTGGAAAACGTTACAGGGGAGCTCCAGCAAGCCAAGACGGCGACGCGAACAAGAACGTCACCAAGAAAGAAAAGAAAAGGTTTAATGAGNAAATCTCAAACCTCATGATTACAGAGCTGTTTTATTCACATATTCGTAATATGAACAGAGGTTTCCTTCATACAAGAAGTTTCAGGCGCATACACCTCTCTGCTTTTAGATACAGATTAACTAAAAATGGTTTTGCGGGCCCAAAAAGGTCCCGGGGCTTTCGAGAAACGGACCTCTGGCCTCCTGCATAGACGCTCTTAGGGTTTTTCACATAATTTTCAGATTGCGTGACGAGCCTAAAGAGCGTCTGTGCAGGAGGCTAACTAGGCCCTTGATTCTCATCAAAAAATATAGAGAATCGAAAATTCAATCACTGCTGGAAAACGTTACAGGGGAGCTTCAGCAAACCAAGACGGCGACGCGAACAAGAACGTCACCAAAGAAAAGGTTTAATGAGCAGAACAATGGTTATGCACGTGCGTTTTGAATCTTGGTACATTTCTCACCCGTCATCTGCAAAACAACAACGTGAAATGACCAAGTTCTGCGTATTTTGGAGAACGTGAACCGTAACGACTGATTTTCCGTATCTCCCTTTGGAATTGAACGCTAGCATGTATTAGCCTGAGCGCTCTTTGACTGATAGGCGTAGTGAACAGATCAACACAGCTGCAGCAATTGAAGTTCAAAAGTAAGTTCATTTTTTACTAGGCGTCTTCCTCGGTGTCGTTGTCGTCATTGCTAAAACTCCATACAATGTATAATACACATTAATTTAAAATATTGCTGTTCAAAACTTACTTTTTGTTTTCTTTTCGGCAGACATGGCGAGACATTGACAGCAGAATAACTGATTACGCCAATGAAGCTAAAGACAATGTGAAGTTCCTTTATACCCTAGAGAAATTTTGTGACCCACTCTACAACAGTGATCCAGTAAGTAACATCAATCTGTGGTCCAACATAGCACTACATATGTTGCCATTTAGAATAGTTTTGACTTGAGTTTTGTAAAACGAATTAAATCACATGAAGTAATTTCTCTAACCAATCCCAAGGGACACAGACAAGGCAGTGAACCAATCAAAACTTGAACCAAATACATGTCGCGTCGCTGACACGAATCGCGGGAAAATTTGTGTGAGCGAGTCACCATTGGTTTTGGTCGATTGGATGACACACTGACAAAATGGCGCCAGTTTTTTTAAGCCGATCGCTTACCGTAGTAATACAAAACCAATTCAAACGCGAATTACATTCAACGCTCACGTGAAAAACTCTCTAGCCAAGTTGTGGCTTTGCTTTTTGTCTTGGATTTTCGTACTAAGTATGAACATTTATACCTGTGTAATGTTAGGTTGGTATGATGGACGGGATTCCAGGCCTTATAAACGCTATCCGCATGATTAACAGTTACTCAAGGTATTACAACACATCTGAAAGGATGACAGCCTTGTTTGTCAAGGTAGGTAGGTGTACAGGAGACTGCTTTCGGAAATTTAAAAAGCTCATTTTTGAGCGTGGCCCTTCTTCAGGACTGGGCCTACCAGGCTGACGTTTTGTTAGACTGTTAACCAGTCTTCCAGGCACTCGGTCATTTGTAGAGCAGCGCGAAATGGCGAGAGAAAACAATTGGTGGGGGAGAGGGGGTATGGCCGTTTTTTGCCAGCTAACTGTTACTGATGAACGCCCGCAAGAGGCTATCAGAATGTTTCAATTTTGCTATGGGAAGGAGGATTGGTCTTATTATCGACTTCAAGAGGATAATTAACCAACTGTAAGAGTTTTAATTCCCGCTGCCAACCACCGAATCACTACATACCTCTTACTAACCGAGTTTGAGGTCCATACAGTAAGTTACGGACCGAGTTTTTTCCCCTTCGATTTATGGCCCAAGCGCCAAGCGCGCGGGTCATAAATCGAAGGGGAAAAAACCAGGATCCGTAACTTACAGTACGGACCGAGAAAACGAGGTTAGTAAGATATTTATTATATCTCTACTGTGTGCCTGACGGGTTCGGGAACGATTTTTATTCACGCCGAACGGCTTCAAATTTCTGACGCACCTCGAAAGCAAAACGAGTCAGTTTGAAACTGTTTTTAAGTCGTTAGCACGCTTTATTACATAA